AAAAGAAAAATTTTCCGATATAAATTAGCGCAAACTCATCTTTTATTAACGCCAAAGTGCTTATAAACGGTTTGAAATAATAATAATAATAATGAGCAGACGATAAACGTCGGAAAACGATAATAATAATAATTAAATACTTTAAACGGTGGTAAATGCGATGACGTCATAAGGCAACAATCGGTCAATATATTTATATATTCCCTCCCCCCCAAATTGTCTTCAATTTTTTCTAATTTTGTTATTTACTCTATGACATTAGTATTTCACTTACCTGAATTTAATTAAATTATATAAATCGTTAAATGCGTAGTTTTATCATTATTATTTTCGTCAACTAATTAGTAGATATTTTTATTTGATTGATTGATTGACTGATTGATTGTTATTTAATTAGATAAAATTTAAATTGTTTCGTTTGTGTCGTTGTCGTCGTCGTCGTGAGATCGAAAGCGTCCACCATATTGTTTGTTTATTTGTTTTTAAATATTTGCTCTCTATTAGTATGCTAAATGATGTGTGATACGTATGTTGCATAAATATGGAAGTGGGGGGACGTGGAGAAGGGGGGCGCGAACAAAGGTTTGCAACAATAAGACACGAATTTTTTTAAATAATAAATAATAATAATAATACCACAGTCGAAAATTGACTTCCTCTCACGTTTTCATATATTTTTTTTTTTATTCCACCACGAGTCGTTTGTCGTTTGTTTTTTTTTTTTTTGCGTTGTTTGTTCACGTTTGTTTTAAATGCTATCCGAGTTGCAAAAAAAAATATAATTATTTATATAATACTTGGAATACGTTCGATTAAAAAAAAGGAAAAAAAAATGATAGAGTTCATTCATCGAAAATGTTTTTAAAAATGATTCCGAAAGGTTTATTATTATTATTATTATTATTATTTTATTTTATTTTGAGTTTGCCCTTGACGGGGGTAATGAAAGGGTCGAACGGACGAACGAACGCACGAGTGGTTCAACGGAAAGCGGTGGTGGAAAGAGAGAGAGAAACGAACGTTTTACCCAACCACCCAATGAACGCCCTTGAACACTAGGATATTTGTTTTTATTATTGTTATTTTCTCTCTCTCTCTCTCTCTCTCTCTCTCTTTCAAATGGGTGGGTGGCGATGACGGTGGCGGTGGTGGAAATGGTGGGGACGACGGGGGAATCGTAAAGGAAAACATAAAAAAAAAAACGAGAAGGAAAAAGAAAAAAAAAAAAAAAGGAAACTGTGATGATGAAATAACAGAAAGAAAAAGGAAAAAAAAGGGGGGGAAGGTTGTATGGGAGAGAAAGAGAGAAAAGATGGAAAGGCGAGGAAAATGCGAATGAACATTAGAGCCGAAGTGTTGTATGTGTGTGTTTGTGTGTGTGTGTGTGTGAGAGAGAGAGAGAGAGAGAAATAGAAAGAAAATTAAAAGATATAAGCTAAGTAATGAGACGCCAATGAGAGCGAGTGAGATAGGGTAATGCAATGCGAAGGTCGCGCTGCCAAGTGGCATTTCCTGGTCATTGCACTCGTTTGTGACGCAACTCGCTCAAGGTCTCGCGCCTGTGCTTGACGTTCCTCCCGTCGACTTTAAAAAAAAAAAAAAAAAAACTTCAATAACATTTCATTTCACGACCAAACTAACTTGGCCTTTCCCCCCACCTTAGACAATTTTTTTTTATTTTCTCTCTTTCGCCTTCTCTCGTTTTTCCATTTCTTTGATTAAACCTTATAATTACGTATATGTGTGTGTGTATGTAAACGCGCGCACACCCGCACATCTATAATATTTCTTTCCCTTTCCCTTTCAGCAATTTTGTCGGCTTGGAAAAAAAAAGAAAATTATTTCATTGCCATTTTGAATTTCACTATTATTATTATTATTTTAAACCTTATCGTTTTTCTGGAATTTCTGGACAAGGGAAAAAAAAGAAATCTCTTGTTGATGATGATGATGATGATCGTAAAAGCATGTGTAATGTGTAACAACATAATGTATCGTTCGACTGGACTAACAAACAGATTCGTTCGTTCCCCCTCCCTGTCTCCCTCCTCTTTTCTCTCTTGGTTTTTTTATTATTATTATTATTTTCGTCTAACGCCTTTTTTTTTTTTTTTTGTGCACTGACATTGACATTACATCACTAGATAATCTGAAGCCCCATTATTATTATTATTATTAGCCGTCATGCAATCATTTTGTAGGATTGAGCACTATTTTGACCTATGAACACAAGATTAGTTGTTGTTATTATTATTATTTGCTACCAATTTAAACAATTTAATTGTTTGTGTGTGTGTGTGAGAGAGAGAGAGAGAGAGAGAAACGTTTGTTTTGACCGTAGCAAAAAAATTTCCAAAGCTGTGAAAAAAAAAAAAATCCTCCTCTTTTTTGTCGCAAATTTATTAAAAGCTTAGAGGTAAAAAATATTTTCTGTCGATTCAACTATTGCATAATTGGCATACCTTTGTTAAAAAAAAAAAACAGGTTTGAGCAGTAATAATAATAATAATAATAAAGACGATGATGTTGAGAATACATATTAAATTTAAAAAAAAAGAGAGAGAAAATTTTTGTTTGTTTGTTTCGTCTGTCGTCTGTATACGATCGTTTATTAAACGAATTAGAAACTTTAGAAAAGGGGGGAAATTATGAGGAAGGAGGGGGCGGGATTTGTTCTTTTGAAAAGTTTTAGTATTTCAAGGGGGGGAAAGGAGATAGGAATGGGTTTGGGAAAAAGTCGGGTGTAATGAAAGAGGAAAAATTTTAACAAAAAAATAAATCCGTTTTTAATTATTAATGCGAAGAGATGGATGACGTTTTTAAAAAATCGTCTGCTGCATCAAAAAAAAAAAAATGAAAACGTTTGTTTTGTTACATTTTGAAAATTGAAACGCAACAGCAACAACAAACAAACAAACAATCAAATTTCGTTTTTTTTACTGTTGCGAATTTTTTTTTTTTTTTACTTAAAAACAAAAATTAATAATAATAATAATAGTAAACGAAATGAAAAAATATATATATAAAAAGGGAAAATTATAAAAAAGAAAAGAAAAGGAAAGAAAAGAGAGAGAGAGAGAAAAAAAAATCGGTTTTGGAATGTTATACGGGCGGCGGGTTGATATGAAAAAAAAAAAAAAAAAAAAAAAAAAAGGCGGAAAAGTTTTTTTTTTCTTGCTTAGCAAACGTAAGAGTTAAGTCGTCTTAACTCCGCGGTAAAACGCCTAAGAGAATTGTTTCTAGAGAGAGAAAGAGAGAGAGAGAGAGAAAGAGAGAGAGAGAGAGAAGAAAAAAAAAAGGGTTATATGAAACAGAGGGGAAAAATTTTCATGGAGGAAAAAAAAAGAAAAAAATTACGACGGGAATTAAAAGAAAACGTGTTACGACCATGTTTACCATATGGCAAAAGTGGATTTTTTTATATATGAATAAATAAAAAAACTCATACGAGACCGATTCGTGACGACCGATGAAAGCTCAAGTCGTTATTTATTGTGACAGCACTGCAGACCGAAAGAGATTCGATTGTATTATAAGGGAAGAGGAGGGGGAAGGGAATGGAAGGGAAGGAGAGAAAAGAAACGTGTTGCGCAGTGGGGGAGGAGGCGGAGGAAGGAAGAGAGAGAGAGAGAGAGAGAGAGACGGAGGGGAGGGAGAATTTCGAGGAACCCGGGGATACGGAACGGAGAGAAAGGAAAGAGAGGAATAATGTGTGTGTGAGAGAGACAGAAAAAAAAATAGTTAAAAAGAAAGAAAGAGAAAGATTGATAGAGCGAAAGAGAGAGAAAAAGAGCGGGACGCAGAGGATCGGGAGTGCTAGTGACCGCGTTCAAGGGCGACTTGTTTATCTTTCTCTCCAAAAATGATTCAATTATTTTTTTTCTCTTTTTATCTTATTGATTTTTAGTATTTTTTTATTCTTTTTTTGTTTTTGTTTTTTTATCATTCGTCGTTTCTTTCGTTAACTGAATTATTTATTTATTTATTTTTTTTTTCGTTAGGGACCCCGTTGATTTTATTATTATTGTTATATAAAATTTTTTTTTTTTGCCGGTCCGTTTAATGTAAGAATAAGGAGAAATGGAAAAAAGAGAGAGAGAGAAAGAGAGGAAGAAAAAGGGAGAGAAAGAAGTAAAAAATAATTTTTTTTTTTTTTTTCATATGGTAGATTTTGAAACAACTGTCAGGTCTTACATCAGGCTTATCATTATCATTCTCCAACAGTTTTCTTTCTAAGTTTATTTTCATCGAAAGATACTTTTTCCATCTTTCCAAACGAGGGGATGTGCGTGTGCGTGCGTGTTATGGTGGTGTCTTGAAACTAAATGATGGAATTCGTATTCCTCTTTCCCTCTCTCCTTTTGATTCTTTTTCTTTAAACAAAAGCGTATTAAAATTTTTAAAATTATTATTCGTTAAACGATAAAAATACTTAATTACAATTTAGTTATATCTGTAATTAAAACAACAACAACAACAACAAAATTTCCAACTTTTTAAAAACTTGTGACGACATTTAAACACGAAAACAACAACAACAACAAACAATAAGAAAAATGTGCTTTATCACATTGTTATTGTTTATTAATTCTTTTTTTATTTTATTTTTTTGTTGTTTGTTGTTGTTGTTGTTGTTGCTATAAACGCGTTTTGTGAAAGAAAAAGATTGCGAGAAGAAAAATTTAATTGTAAATTTTTTTTTTTTTTAAACGAAAATTAACCCAAAAGAAAGGAAAAAAGGAGAAAAGCACATAATTACTTAATGATAACGCGGTCGGCCATTTTGTATTATTTACGATTTTATTTATTTTTGCAGTACCCGACACGTACCCAAATTATTTACAACATATTCCTCAATACTACCAATCTCATTCGCATCAATTTGCCCAACCATCTGCGCCGAGTCCTCCAGGTGGTGGTGGCGGTGGCGGTGGTGGCCACTTGAGGCAAGCAGTACCCACAAGCGTCATTCAACCTGCGACATCTAGCGTTAACGACGAATGGTATCTCACCGAATTAGGATATCAGCAAAGAGTCAAAACGAAAAAAGTTAAAAAAATTAAAAATGGCGAACCGGGAGCAAAGAGAAAAAGCAGAGAGGGTAAAAAAAAAAAAAAAAAAAACAATTTTATTATCATCATCATCATCATCATCATCACCGTGATATAATGTAATGACGGTGTTATTATTACAGGATCTACGACGTACCTGTGGGAATTCCTGTTGAAACTTCTTCAAGACAGAGATTATTGTCCGAGATACATAAAGTGGACCAATCGGGAAAAAGGAGTTTTTAAATTAGTCGATTCGAAAGCAGTTTCAAGGTTGTGGGGCCTTCATAAAAACAAACCTGATATGAATTACGAAACAATGGGAAGAGCTTTGAGGTAAATTTTCTTCTTCGTTTCCACCCCTCCCCTCCCCCACTCCTTTAGTATTTATAACACTACCTCTGACGCCCTCGTCGTTCGTGATGGTGCTAAAGAAAAACGTCGGATCGATCGGACAACCAACAAAATTTTTTCTTTTTCTTTTCCCCTTACAGGTATTACTATCAACGAGGGATCTTAGCCAAAGTGGATGGACAACGTCTTGTTTATCAATATGTTGACGTTCCAAAGGACATCGTTGAAATAGATTGTTCCGGAGCGTGACCAACGGTTTTTCTACCACCACCACGTACGTCGTTTTGTACCTCTCTCAGATAGAAGATGCTACCATAATCGAAACATGAAAAAACAACAAAAAAAAAAAAACATTTTCTTTTCTTTGCTGTAAAGTTTTTTTTTTATTAAATTGGCTTAAATATCAACAGAGAAGATGATCGATAATCGATCGATATTAATTGTATATCGATACCACATATCGATCGATCCGTCGATTGACTTCTCTCCCCCCCCCCCAATTTCAAATTAATCCTGTTGATATTTACGTTAATTTATTCTTATTATTATTAATTTTTTTTTTCGTCTTATTAAATTACAAATAAATAGATTTATTTTATTATTATTATTAATTATATACATTTTTATTAACTGCCGTTTGTATAATTTTATTTTTTAAACAAACAAATTGTTGTTGTTGTACAGTAGGATTAATATTAATAATAATATATTTTATATATATATAAAAAAAAAAAAACACTGCCCAAAGAATCAGTTGCCCAATATAAAAAATGACGGAAGTTAACCAAATATTATTAAAAAAAAAAAAACGTTTCCGGTTTTATTATTATTATTATTATTATTATTATTATTATTATTTATATAATTATTATTATTATTATGGAGAATTTAAAAAAAAAAAAACACAAAAAAAAATTTAAAAAAAAAAAAAAAAAAGTTTAAGAGTAAAAAGTAAGAAAATGATTTTGAGGTTTTTGGATTCAATAAATCAATCGATATATCGAAATATCGATTGATTATGATTAAAATAAATAAATGTGTTCTTATTATTATTATTATTATTATTAAAATGGTTGTATAAACGGTTGTATTAATGAATAATTTATATATTTTTTTTTGTGTTTATAGTTTGCTTATATATATATATATATATTTATTGTAAGCAATTATTATTATTATTAATTTTAATTTTTTTAAAAAAATGTTTTTATATATATAGTCTTTATAAAAATCGAAAAAAATGTGGGGGGAGGGGAGTAAAGGAAAGGGGATGGAAGGGGGGCTTGTTTCGAAAGTGTCGGTTGAAGTCGCTGGGTTACACACACACACACACACACTCGTATATATAAATAAATATTTGATAATGTTTTTTTTTTTTTAAATGTAATGTGAAAATAGTTTATAATAAAACATAAAAAACATAAACAAAAAAACATAAAAAAACATAAAAAACATAAAAAAAAGATGAAAAAAAAATAATAATAACAATTAATTTTTTTTTTAAAATAATGCAAAGAGTGATAGTAAAAAATTAGAAACGCGCACGCACACATACACACACTCATTTACACGTTTTGGGAAAATCACGTATATTCCGTCAGCTCCCCCTCCCTTTCTTCCCCTCTCTTCTTCCCCTCCCCTCCCCCTCCGTCAGGTTCCGCCCCCTCCCCAAAAAAAAAAAAAACTTTACAATTCCTATCGTGTCGTTAATGACACCTTATATATATATATATATTAATTCAATAATAATTCTATGGTTAACCTTTGACATTTTAACAAATTCGAGGAAATTTCCTTACTCTCCTCCTCCCCTTTCTCTTTCCCTCCCCCCTCGTTTCTCCCCCAGTATATAATTCGTCGGTTAAAAAAAAAAATGATTTCAACCCCGTGATTAGGTATAACAAGAAAAAAAAAAAAAGAAAAACAGGCCTTAATCTATATTTTAAAAGAAAGAAAGAAAGTGTTTGTTTGTTTTATCATTATTATTATTATTATTATTATTATAAACGGATTTTTTTTTTTTTTTTTAAATAGAAAAATTATATTTTTGTAAAAATGTTTCTATTATATATATATATATATATATATATAGTATATGTAAGATAAAAAAAAAAAAAAAAAAAAAAGAAAATTTTTGTGGAAAAGTTGTGTATTTTGATTAGTTTGTAAGGTAGGATTTGTAAGTTTTATTATTATTATTATTTTTTTTTCTCATCTTCCTGTTGTTGTCTTCTGATTCTGGGTAACTTTTTCTGTTGCCGTAAATCGATTAATTAATTTTTTTTTTTTAAGTCACGATATTATTATTATTATTTTTATTTTTTAAAAGAAAAAAAAAAATTTTTTTTGTTTTTTTTATTTTTATTTTATTTTTATTTTTTTTAATTTTTCTAATTTTTCACACGCTTTGATTAACTATCGATCATTCAATCAATCATTCAATCATTCGTTCATTCATTCATTCATTCATTCACTCGGAGAAAAAAAATTTATCCTTTAATCGATCGCTCGAAACATTTTTTTTTTTTTTTTTTTTTTTCACTGTCCCGGAAAAGAAAATTTTTTTTTGTTTGATTTTTTTTTTGCTACAAGTAAAAGATGTCGTTTTTTCATACTATAAAATTATAGCTTATTTTTTATAGCAAAAAAAAACGCTGGCGTGTATATAAAATATAGTAGGTATATATTTAATAGGAATGAAAATAAATAAAACATAAATAATTAAACGAGAGAGAGAGAGAGAAAGAAAGAAAAAAATATTACATATTTAAATCAAAACAACGAATTATTATTATTATTATTATTATTGTATATAAACAACAGCAGCAGATACAACAACAACAACAATAACAACAGCAACATAAATTAAATAAATATATTTTACGGTTGTTGTAATAAAACAAACGAAAAAATTTTCACATTTAAAAATCATTCTCTCTCTCTCTCTCTCTTAATTTTTTTTAAAGTACTGAAATTATTTAGGGTATTTTTCCGCATTCTATAAATTTTTTTTTTTGCCCGGAAAATCTCCCCGCCTCCCCCACCCCCATCCCCCCAAAAAAAAATTTTTTTAATTTGTCGTTTTTTGTAATAATTATATTAATCGCCGAAATATTTGCTGTTGTTTGTTGTAATAAATTATAGATAGGGGCGGGGAAACGAACAAAAAAATTATTTTTAAATTAAATTTTTACGTCACGCGTTTGTTTGTTTGTTGCTATAATAAGAATAATGATGATAATATTAACTAATTTTTTTTTCAGTTTGTTTGTTCAAAGTTTACCGTCGGCGGGTAATAATTTCACGACATCCAATTTTTTTTTTTTTTTTTTTTCTAACAACACGACAACAAACGCAAAATTATTATTATTATTATTATTTTTAAAAAAATAGTATTAGGGGTAACGAACGAATGAGTCCTTTTTAAACGATTGTTTGTTTGTTTGTTTGTTTTTAAATGAAAAAAAAAAAAAAAAAAATTTATATACGGGATTGCGAGTGCCTAATTTATATTGATTCAAAGTAAATTTTATATTTAAATTTAAAAAAAAAAAAATTATATATTTATATTATATATAATATTATAAATATATAGTGCTATAATATTAACAATAATAATAATAATAATCCGTCTATGGTGTAGAATTTTGTAAAGAAAGGATTTTTTTTCCTAAGGGATGTTCCGACGCATCCTAAAGGTTAATAAATGGTTGTTGCCTTAAAAGTTTCGAATGTGTTTGATAAAAACTTTTCTTTTTTTTTTTTTCTTATCGGCTGTATTTTTTACGCTATAAAAGGCTATAAGAGAGGCTGCTATATTTAGAAATATTGGGGAGCAAAAAAGTAAAAAAAAAAAAAAAAAAAAAACTTTTATAATAAAAAAAGAAAAAAATTTTTTTTTTTTTTTTTTATGTAAACGTAGTAGATTGTTGTTGTTGTTGTTTTTGTTGTTGTTTTTTTTTTAAACAATACACGAATACGTATATTTTATAAATTAAAAAATTTTCGATATATCGATAAATCGATAATAAATAAATAATTATCGATTGGAAAAAATATTCGTGAGAAAAAAAAAAGAAAGAAAAAGAAAAGAAAAAAAGAAAAAATTTTTTTTCCCTAGTCATTTATAATTTTTAAAAAATTAAATGAATTATTACTATTATTATTATTATCGATTTATGTATACATAAATATTTATGTACATATTTTATGGTTTTAATAAGTATATATGTATTTTGAAAATTACGATTTAAAACAAAAAAAAAAAAAAATTTTATATACAAAAAAAAAAAAAGTAAGAAAATGAAAATGAAAAGAAAATTTTCTTTTTGATTCGTTATTATTATTATTATTATTATTATTATTATAGCGTGTGAAATGACTTTTTCCTGTCGGTTTTATAAAAACTTTGTAATATTTTTTTTTTTTTTTTTAATATTTTTGTCACTGTCGTAATAAACAACATGTTGGATAAGATTTTATGAATTATAAAAATGGGGAGACAAAGAGTAGGTAAGGAAAAACAAACACGTAAGGTAGTAGCTTTTATTTTTATTTCTTTTTTTTTGCATTTATGTACAAAGTGTTTTATCATTATTATTATTATTATTATTATTATTATGCATCGACGAGAAAGGTAAGGAACATGGGGAAAGGAGAGGAGGGGGGAGGGGAGGGTAAGATAGGAATTCCGATTGATTCATGTAAAATAAAATGAAAATTTTTTTTTTTTTTTTCCGATTATTATCATTATTATTTTAAGTTAAAATTTTGTAGTAAGTTTTTAAATGGAGCCTTTTACATTATGTCAAATAAATATTAATGAAAAATAAAAAATTTTTATTTGTTTTGATTGTTATTGTTAATTAATTTATGTATTAAGCCGGGAGTGGTGGTGCGCTCCTGTAATCCAACTACTTGGAGGCTAGGTACAGAGGATGTTTTAAGGACGAGGGTTTTGAAATTGAATTTCCCCTGTTGGGGATAAATCTTTAACTTGGATGCCTTGGGAAGCCCGAGGTAGCCAGGTTGAGAGTTCAATTTCAATTTGTCCTAAACAAGAACAGACCTGTACCAAAATAAAGGGATAAATCATCTAACATCCTTTCGAGACATTGGGTTCTATGGGGGGGGGGAAACTAGGTAGTCGATTCAAATAGGGAAAATGCGGAGCTGCGATGTGAAAGGAAGAGAGGTGATAGATTAAGCAGAATAGCTCGGGATTATCTTTCGAAAGGTAAAAAGGGGGGGGAAGTGCCGGGATCTTCCTCGGGTGGGATTCCCAATAATTTTTTCCTTCTTTCTTTTCACTTTTGAAAGTTCAGGTTTAGGGGGGGAAGGGGTTGAGGCTGAAATGCAGGTTCCCTGCTTCTATTAACGTTTTTTATTCCTCTTTAATAATAATAATAATTATTATTAAAAAAAAATAAAAACTTTTTTCTATTTGTTTCGATTGTTGTTAATTTATGTATTCGAGATGTATTAAGCCGGGAGTGGTGGTGCGCTCCTGTAATCCAACTACTTGGAGGCTAGGTACAGAGGATGTTTTAAGGACGAGGGTTTTGGAATTGAATTTCCCCTGTTGGGGATAAATCTTTAACTTGGATGCCTTGGGGGAGCCCGAGGTAGCCAGGTTGAGAGTTCAATTTCAATTTGTCCTAAACAAGAACAGACCTGTACCAAAATAAAGGGATAAATCATCTAACATCCTTTCGAGACATTGGGTTCTATGGGGGGGGGGGGGAAAACTAGGTAGTCGATTCAAATTGGGAAAATGGGGAGGTGCGATGTGAAAGGAAGAGAGATGATAGATTAATGGGATTTGCTATCCCAGACATCTTTCTCTTTCTCTCTGGAAATTCGCAGACTTTGCTAAAGAGGCAGACACAGGTCGGGATTATCTCTAGAAGGGTAAAAAGGGGGGAAGTATCGGGATCTTCCTCGGGTGGGATTCCCACTAACTTTTTCCTTCTATCTTTCTACTTTTAATGGTTCTGGCTTAGGGGGGAGGGTCGAGGCTGAAATGCAAGTTCCCGACTTCTATTTACGTTTTTTGATTCGTTTCGATTGTTCTTAATTTATGTATTCGAGATCTATTAAGCCGGGAGTGGTGGTGCGCTCCTGTAATCCAACTACTTGGAGGCTAGGTACAGAGGATGTTTTAAGGACGAGGGTTTTGGAATTGAATTTCCCCTGTTGGGGATAAATCTTTAACTTGGATGCCTTGGGAAGCCCGAGGTAGCCAGGTTGAGAGTTCAATTTCAAATTGTCCTAAACAAGAACAGACCTGTACCACAATAAGGGGATAAACAATCTAACATTCTTTCGAGGCATTGGGTTCTAGGTGGGGGGAAACTAGGTAGTCGATTCAATTAGGGAAAATGCGGAGCTGCGATGTGAAAGGAAAAGAGGTGATAGATTAAGCAGAATAGCTCGGGATTATCTTTCGAAAGGTAAAAAGGGGGGGAAGTGCCGGGATCTTCCTCGGGTGGGATTCCCACTTTCTTTTTCCTTCTTTCTTTCCACTCTTGGTGGTTCTGGTTTAGGGAGGGGGGGTTGAGGCTGAAGTTCAGGTTCCATACTTCTTTTTACGTTCTTTATTCCTCTTTAATAATTATTATTGTTATTCATGAAAAATAAAAATTTTTTTCTATTTGTTTCGATTGTTGTTAATTTATGTATTCGAGATATATTAAGCCGGGAGTGGTGGTGCGCTCCTGTAATCCAACTACTTGGAGGCTAGGTACAGAGGATGTTTTAAGGACGAGGGTTTTGAAATTGAATTTCCCTTGCTGAGATTAAATCTTTAACTTGGATGCTTTGGGGGAGCCCGAGGTAGCCAGGTTGAGAGTTTAATCTTCGGAATGGGAGTTCAATTTCAATTTGTCCAAAACAAAGAACAGACCTGTACCAAAATAGGGGGATAGTGATCTAGCATTCTTTCGAGGCATTGGGTTCTAGGGGGGGGAACTAGGTAGTCGATTTGATAAATTGGGAAAATGCGGAGGTGCGATGTTAAAGGAAGAGAGATGATAGATTAAGCAGAATAGCTCGGGATTATTTTACGAAGGGTAAAAAGGGGGGAAAGTACCGGGATCTTCCTCGGGTGGGATTCCAACTTTCTTTTTCCTTCTTTCTTCCCACTTTTAATGGTTCTTGGTTGGGGGGGGGTTGAGGCTGAAGTTCAGGTTCCATACTTCTTTTTACGTTTCTTATTCCTCTTTAATAACAATAATTATTATTATCAGTATTAATTAAAACATAAAAAAAATTTTTTTTTTTTTTTCGTTCAACGAAATTCTAGATTGAGCCTAAAATTTATTAGTTATGCAATTTCAACTCATCTTGTTAATAATAATTAAAAATTTTCTTTCCCCCCTTTAATTTCTGACGATGAAAAGTATATATTTATATTTAGCCAATCAAAAATTTTTTAATAATTTTAAACTCCGCCCCTTTAATCGTTTTTAATTTTCATTGGCTAAGACAAATATTTATATAAATATTTTTATACTTAGTATATATATATTTAAACTTAATTCGAAAAGTTTTCAATGGATTTATTATTATTATTACTCTTATAGAATGTGGCAAGGCCCCCCAATGATCGGAATAGTTTTTGTCTTTTTTTACTCCCCACATCCTGGGGAGTACCAAATACCTGTACTTCAGCCTTTTGTCTGCCTCTTTGGGGTTTGGGATCAGTGTGGGTTTGTCGATCGTAAAGAACCGTGCATGGACCCAATGTCGTCTCCAGGTTTGAAATGTGGCTGTGCCATTCCTTCCCTAATCCATCCATTCCTTATTCACGACAAATTTTCCAGTGGAGATATTCACATATTTTCTTGCGTCTTCTAAGTATTCATTTTTTGCCAATATCGATCAACCGGAAATTAATTATCAAAACCCGACAATATAATTTGTACCAATCTCAGTCGGAAGCCATCGATCATTTATATTCTCATAGTTATAGGTCCCCAATACCTTGTTCAGCTGATAATGAGCGCTTCTGCTTCAGACTTTACTTTGCCACCCTGTAATCAATTGTGCGTCCTTTTCTTATCAATACCTGAAACACTCACTCTTTTCAAACATTATCCTTGCAACCTTTTTTATTCCCATTTGCTCTAAAGTTTTCTTTTGGATAGGGCTTTGCTATCATAAGTTGCCGACTGTCATTTTTTTGAACGATTCGTTTTGCCCTTCTCAGTACTCCTTTTTTCGAAATTTGTTTTCCGTATGTATAACTTAGGCTAAGGTGAGGTGCTATTGATGGGTTTCGTAATTTTGTTTTTCGTATGTACAACTTAGGCTTAAGTGGGGAGCTCTTGATAGAAAAAATTCCCCTTTTAATCGAAATTTTTCTCGGATAGTATTTTTCCAATTCTAGTTAGGTGATAGGAAAATTTTTCTTATCGCAAAACGTAATAATTTTGGGGTCGTTATTATTATCATCGATATAAAAATCAATTAATAATTTCAGGTTTGATAGGAAAATATTAAAACAAGGGGGTAATTAGGAAATAAATAAAAAAAAAGAGATTTTAAAAAACGTACATTTAATAAAATTTATATATATATATATATTTGAGTCAACAACAACATTTTCATAATTAAGAAATTAAATTATTTTTATATTGACATAATACGGAAAACATATTTCCACCTAATCTTTTAGCCAACCATTGATTTTTAATCACAGCCACTTTCAGACTTTCGCATTTGAAATTTGTATTTAAATTTGTATGAACCGACCTTCCCATTCCTTCTATGACAATCAAATCCGCTTTTCTTCTTATCATTTCCTCGCATAAATTTTTTTTCAAACGGCTAAAACCAACAAACGGAAAAAATCATTTAAAAGAAAAAAAAAAAAAAAAAAATTGAAACGTAATCGATATCCAAAACCTCAAATCCAAACATGGTCCCGTCTGTCCACTTTCCATCGCAATCAAAAATCCTTTTTCTTCTGCTTCTCTTATTATCGGACATATTTTTTTTACTGAATTTAACAAAACTAATAATTCGCTATGTATGACGTCGTTTAACGCGGGACTCGAATTCGAACAAAGAATTACCTGTTGAAAAAAAAACATTACGTGTTAAGAAGTATCATATAGAAATAGTTTTTAGGGGGATTAATTAATAGGGTAAGGGGGGGGTGGTCGGTTTCGGACGTCTCGGTGCGTCTCCCGATCGGCGGAGGCGCACGATTCTAATCGTCGGCATACGGATCACGGCCGCCACGTCCGCGCTCCTAGAGGCGGGCGTGGTTGTCGTCGGGGGGTGAATGAGGCGGTGGTCCTGCTGCCGAAACGCAGGATCATCTAAGTTAGGTGCCTAAATCCCGGACATTTAGGCTCGCGTTGTCCCAAAGTCAGGCATAGGGGGGAATCGGCGAGGGATCGCTGCTTTAGGTGCGGAGGAGAGGGGCACCGGGCGAGGGAATACACAAATAAAGTCCGCGGGGCGCCCTGTTAGGAGGCCGGCCGGCCGGCTCGCAGGGGGTCTTCGTGCGAGGCGCCAGCCGTTAGGGGGAAAACCGAAACCGGTAGGATTGGGGAATCCGTTAGGGGGGAAACTGCTTTAGGTGCGGAGGAAAGAGGTACCGGGCGAGTAAGAACGCAAATAAAGTCCGCTGGGCGCCCTGTTCGGAGGCCGACCGGCTCACGGGGTCTTCGTGCGGGGCGCCAGCCGTTAGGGGGGAAACTGCTTTAGGTGCGGAGGAAAGAGGTACCGGGCCGGTAAGAACGCAAATAAAGTCCGCTGGGCGCCCTGTTCGCGGGGGAGGCGTCATCATGCAGGGCGCCCTGTTTGCGGGGGGAGGTCTTCGTGCGGGGCGCCCTGTTTGCGGGGGGAGGCGTCATCATGCGGGGCGCCCTGTTTGCGGGGGGAGGCGTCATCATGCGGGGCGCCCTGTTTGCGGGGGGAGGCGTCATCATGCGGGGCGCCCTGTTTGCGGGGGGAGGCGTCATCATGCGGGGCGCCCTGTTTGCGGGGGGAGGTCTTCGTACGGGGCGCCTTGTTCGCGGGGGAGGTCTTCGTGCGGGGCGCCCTGTTTGCGGGGGGAGGTCTTCGTGCGGGGCGCCCTGTTTGCGGGGGGAGGTCTTCGTGCGGGGCGCCCTGTTTGCGGGGGGAGGTCATCGTGCGGGGCGCCCTGTTTGCGGGGGAGGTCATCGTGCGGGGCGCCCTGTTTGCGGGGGAGGTCTTCGTGCGGGGCGCCTTGTTCGCGGGGGGAGGCGTCTTCGTACGGGGCGCCCTGTTCGGAGGCCGGCCGGCCGGCTCGCGGGAGGGGCG